GTAGAACTTGAGAATGACTCAATTCTGTCATACGCCAGGTACCGGAAGATATGGCCGGCAGAAAGGAGCGCTTTGGCAGGCGGTTTTTTGAGACGACCAAGGCTCAAGTGATGACAAACTCATTTACAAAACTGAGGGAGATAAGCTGTCGATATTCCCTACCCAAAGGAGAATACGTGCTGGTTCCATCCACATTTTACCCTCGTCAAGAATCCGAATTTCTTTTAAGAATATTTTCCGAGAAACCTCACGATACAAGGTGGGTCAGTAGTGTTGGAGACATTTTGGAATTAAACGAGAAAGATTATCAATACTTGTTTCACCTCTTTCTTTCTTTGGTCAAACAAGTTTTTCGAAGCTCATGTGAATTTCTTACGCATTTAGTGTTTCACTATCTCTCCTTTTAGGGAAATTGACGTGGAAACAAAGATAACGCTGCTACCCAAGGTTTGTCGACGCAACGTTTTTTTAATCCAATTTTTTAAAAAGGGTAGGAAGTGAGGGGGGAGATGTACCCTCTCAGACTCACACGTCTAAATTTTGAAAAAGGTTGCTGATTTCGACAACAAAATCAGACCAGCAGATCAGGTCTTATGGAGAGCCCTCGTTGATCTCAACTTATCGTTTAATTAAGATTGATTTAGAATAATTCCTTCCATCTCATTCTTCATCTAGCCAACAGTATCAACAGAGGAGGCCGGAGACATTGATAAACAATTTTGGAACACGTTTCAAAAATTTTCAGGAGAGGTCAGTAGTGAACAAAAATGGTGGAGAAGAATGTCTCAGTAAATCCTAAGGGAATGAAATATAACTTAATATGTCAGGCAATTGTCCTCTGATTTAGCATAAATATTCGGGAGAGCAGTTTTCCTTGCTTTGATTAAGTTCGACAATATGATTTATTTAGAAATATGGTTTTTTCGTCTTGTGACGAGCGTGGGAAAAAGAAAAATTCTGCGTACCCATGAGGAATTGAACGATGGACCTTCGGATTTCGCATTAGGATGCTATGAAGATCATCTTTCTTATTCTATTTACAATAGGTAACGCTAGGATCAAGATCAAAAAATTTGATTGGACTGTATATAATCGGGCAAAAGCTCTTGAGGTTTCCTCCCACTTGTTCTTCAAGATATTGTACCAGATCTTTATAACCAATCATTTGTGCTTTCCGTTTACTATTCAGGATGGTGAAATTGATCAATATGAACTACAGGAGATCTTGACCAAAGCATTTGCTTCTTGTAAGTAAACAGCTTTTGACGCTGAAATATGCTTCTCTTCATAAAATAAGCGAGATACGCTTGCGATTTGATTAGTTAAAAACCTACCGTTCATTGTACTGGTAAACTCACTGCTATGGTATGGATTTCTCTCGTATTCTACCAAAATCCAGTGCTGGTAAACATCATCTGATATACTGCTTAACCTGTGAATAAAAATCGGACGCGCGCATTTTCCATGAAATAATTCCGTTATTTCTTTACCTAATATATTTATTTTAATGTGAATTTTCAGTGATGAACTCAAACACGTTTAGCTTGGAAGCTTGCAGGTAAAATTCCCTTGAAACTGATGATCAAGTTTAAATTGTGCTTCGAATTGAGCCCTTGCAAATTACAGTCCTCATTATGACTTAAGTGTTTTTTTTTCCTCTACAGGAGCATGATTGCAATGTTTGATGTATCCTTCAAATACTGGAAAATAAATAGATATGTATTTAAATTTGATGACATACCTAAACGGTCAGAATACGCATTCTGACATTTTGATGCGTTCCTCTAAATATCCAAACAACTAGACATCCTCGAATTCCATTCCAAACTTCCGCAAGTATTCCCCTTTCACGCAAACGCAAAATCCAGAAATCTTGAAAACATTAAACTAATTGAAGAATATGTCACTCTAAATCATCGTTCATTTTGTTATCCCTCTTCTTGACACTGTTGTGAATAAATCTGAATCATGCCCTTCTAACGCTCATATCAGCAGACGTTTTCTTTCGTTTACCCTTAACATATGTTTTAGGGAGACAAAACAGGAGCGTTAGGATATAATGAGTTTAGAGGATTGTGGACAATTCTTGGACAGTGGAAGGTCGGTGAAAGAGTATTTTCCAACTGCCCAGAACGTTCTTGTCAAATAAAAACCAGCGAGCAGGCTGGGCTGCGGCAACATTCCTTTTTCGTCAAAATCTTATTCATTCTTTTTAACCTTCTTACTAACAATGTAGAACTAAAAAATCCCAGCGTAAAAAAACTACCTTCAATAAACTTCAAGCTCCCTCGTTTTTTTTGAGGAAAGATTGGCTTGAGTGAAACAGTGGGATAGAAATGTTGTTGCGTGGGTAGGTGAAGAAATTCTCAAGAAACGACCGCAGAACTGGCCATCGTATTTCTTCTCTAGATAATTCGATGATGTTACGCAATAGGAAAGTGCATCCGGAAGGGGAAGAATATTATCAAAGATTAACCAATGCATTGAATCACGGTGTCCAGTTTTTTATTTGCCTCATGGTGCAATCTTCAAATTAACTTTATCTGTCTGTGCTCGACACTAATACCAAGAGTGCTGTTTCATTTCAGGCCGTTTTCTTCCGTTTTGACAAAGACCAAAGTGGTGATATGAACCTGTTCGAGCTCCGCGACGCTCTCAAATCATTAGGTAGCTACGTACCTGTCGCTTCATTTTCTCAAATTTTACCACTTTTGAACATTTTCCTTCTACTGCAATTTATTTCTGCCTCGTTATTTCTTGCCTTGCAGGATATCAACTCAGTAATTCTGCGCTGAGCGCAATCATCCTGAGGTATCACAACAAGAAAGGCACGATTCCATTCGATATCTTCATACAGATTTTAGTCCGTGTCATAGTCATGTTCGGTTAGTATCCTTGAAGAGAATCACTTTGGTTTATGCCCGAAACGACGGTAAAAATCGTCAGTTTTTCAACAGAACGAGCTGATATTTGATTACTCAGGTTTTTAAGGTGTAGGGGAAAAGCAAGCATTCTCTCAGATTTCCACGATGACATTATCTGGCCTCTGGGTTGGGGTGGGTACGGGGCATAGTTTAAAACAGTGTTTGAAATAAGCCTGGACTTATAATCAGAGTAGAACACAATCTGTTATACCGGAGCTCGTAGTGCTCGCCAAGCGCGTATGCATGCAGCGGAGGCCCATTCATTCCCCAGCTGAAAAATCTGATTTCAAGGAACATTATTTCATTTTTCTTTTGAAGTAACGTTTACTCTCTTATTTTCTCAAGATACTTTTAGAAGACACGCAATGAGCCGAGGTCGACGATCAGAGAAAGCCGTGTTCACCATCGACGACGTAAGTTGCTAAAAATCGTAAAATCATAGACGCCATGAAGACCGCACCTGAACCAAGATCTGGAGTAAAACCAGAACCCATGACCATAACCTCTTCAGTTCAAATTCAACATTTTATTTGTGGACCTGTCGCTATTTTGTGAGTGCCGTAATTTCTGTTTGAGGGAAGGGAGAGTGACATCCGTCCATTTCAACCCTCTGTATGTGTGAGGAGATAGTGCGTAGCTCAGTATAGCCTTGACTTGGTCTTGAGGTGATTTAATGCCTTCACTCAGACTCCTGGATTTATGTTGAGATTTTTTATAGTTGAACGAATGAGTTGAATCTCTTGACACGATTTTTTTGCAGTTCATCGAATCGACGTTGACCGTTTGATCAAAAGTGACGGAAAGGTGAATCAGTGGTAGTGCAGAGAAAAACTGTGACTGATGAGTGGCAAAGGCAACCTGGTGCGAGTTAAAAGACGAAGCATAATTTTGATCTCATGCCGGCAAAAGGAAGAAGCGGATGCTGACCAAAACATTGGTCTCTAAACTGATATTATGTTGCTTTCTAAAAGCTGTGGATCCCCATTTAGGTTAATGTAAGCTGAAACGTTTGTATCAGTGCAAATATTGCTTATTTTTCTAGACATTTTTAGCGAATCAGAAATTTGCTTAAAAGCGAAATGGAAATTTTTGATGTTCCAAAAAGAGGAAGAAGTCTTTGTTAGTATTATTCCAAAATAACCCTACTCTATTTCTTTAAATTTGAACCTTGTTATGAAATGTTTCAGTCCAGTTTATATATACCTGGATTAGGAAAAAATTACTAGTATTCATTGTAAGCTTTTTATTCTATATACGATATTGTGTCGATGTGTTAAGAAATAATATTTGATTAATAAATTGTTTGAGAGCAAAAACGGTTTTTTTTCAATGATTGTATGAGTATGGATTGCTGACAAATCAAAGTGTATACACACCAAATTTTACCATGATTGATCGAAAACTCTGATTTACCACCACTTAAGATCTTTCCTAGGCAATTTTTTC